TATAAAAATATTTTGATATTTTCAGTGGGGAACAAGTTTCTTATACTTTGTGTCATTTCTTAGCAGAAAATTTATTAATAATCAATGATTTTAGTTTTCCATGTTACTCTTTCCACAAATATTCAGTCTGGAATGCACACTTAATTCCATTCTTGAAAATTGATGCGAAGACTAAGAATTAGAAATTTACCTAGAATATATGGAATGTGGAGGATTTTTCTGCATTTAGTAGGTTATATAGGGCTGACATTACTCCCTGGACAAGAGGAAAAAAATAAAACTCTACAGGTCCAAAATATATCACATCAATCCATAAATTCAAGATATAAAAGAGTAAGCTGGAAAAAGCCCTGTAATTCAATCCAAAATGTCATGATATTTTCAAACTGTAGAAAATGATCTCTGACAGTACTTGACACACTGTGACAAGATGAACATGCACTGCTGGCCACAGCGCCCCTGAAGCTCTTCTCTGGCACCCGCCATTCTTGCCCCTGGCAGCACTGCCTTTTGCTCTTTGGTCAGCTTTACACAGCCTAACCTGTCTGTCACTGCACCTTTTAGCCTTTCCTATCGATTTCCTAACAGAACCTATCTTGGGACATTAGAACTCAGCCATTGCTTGCTTTTTTGTTGTTGTTGTTTTCAGGATTTATGTATGCATGCAAGAGCTGGGGTGTAGGCCAGATATGGGCGTTTGAGGGAGGGTGGTGATGAGAGGATTCACCAGTGTCAAAGTGGGGAGTAGAACAGGCAGATCTACTAAAATACACTGCCGAGGGGAGCAGTGGACAAGACAGGAGAGTTCTTCTGTGCCATGTGGGTCAGCCACCTGGCTGGGCTATGATAGAAAGGGAAAGAGGGATGGAGGGAGGAAAGGAGGGAGGGAGAGAAAGAGAAAGAGAGAGAGAGAACCTTGAAACAATATATTCTTAGCAGCTTGTTTCAAATGTAAGTTGTGACTAACTAAAGGTATGTCTTCCAGAAAGGCAAAGAAAGGAGGGTAGTGATTATCTTCGGGGAAGTAAAGTTATTTCTGGAAAGAGCATATTAAGAAAAGTGTTTAAAGTAGAAAAAAGAAAGTGAGTGTATTTAAAGAGGTATAAATTAAGAGAAGGGAACAAGATAAAAGGTAAAACAAATCTCTACAAACCTGAATTTGAAACTTAGTTTTTGTTGTAGACAATTTTAACAAGAAAATTTAAATTCCTGATTTTTCTTTCAAGCCAATCAGAATTGAATTTCTGAGGAAGCACACAATGATCAAATTGTCCTATTATGCAAACAAAGGTCAGATAGCATGGAGATACTTGCTTTGATAAATATTTTTATAAAGAAATAAACTCAGTATAATATAATTTTCCCAACTTATACATTTTTCCCAATATGAAAACAAATACATCAACTTCAACTTTGTCTTGCCTTTACCTTAGGTTCTCTCTGGCAACAAAAAGCAATTACACAACAACACAGCTAGATGACTGACAATCTTTCTTTATAGTTTGTCTCTTCCTTGGCAGAAGTTCATAAATAGAATACTATATTTCTTGAGGTAGGGTAAGTTCTTTACAAATAAACACAACCAAGAGCAAGATCTGACATGATGCTAAAGGAAATGAGCTGCTTCTATATACATATATATGCATATATATGTCAGAAATTGATTTAACATTTTCTTAACTCATCTTGGAATCATACTTTCAAAGAAGGCAATGATAAAGGAATCATCATGATGAGTTACTGTCGTAATATGTTTTGTGTCAGTACAGATTGCACTCATCTAACACAGATTACCAAATGTTTGTCATCTTTGCTTGTAGCAGAATTAATCTGGTGAGTGACATTAAGTATGTAAGATTACATTTTTTGGTAACTAACTGTGTTTATAATACTCCTTTTGAAAGATAAAACAAATTTTGTGGTTTCAATTTTTAATAAGTATATGTAGACTGATTATTTTAACAAGATTAAGTAGCTGTGTCTGATGCAGAACTAATATTTAAAAATAAGTAATATTAATCTGCTTGAACATAGCTTAATTATTTAAGAATATCCCCCAATTTTCTATAGTATTAAATCAAATTTATACTTGCCATCAATTTGATATTTACTTTTAGAAGGAGGAGAACCTCTGATACTTAAGTTTTATTATAAAATATTCCTCACATTAAAGCTGTTATTCAATTAATTTCAGTTCATTAATAATTTTTTAAATGTGCTTATCTTCACTCATCATTAAAAACTAAATATTATCTGGATTTGGAACTGAGAGAACAAGGGTAAACATTGATAAATGAATATATTAAATATTAACTGAAATAAAATCAACATTAATGACACACCAATTTTTATATTAGCCACAAATATTACAATTGTCTCATTCTATTATTCAACTAAATTGTGTAACTTTTGTTTTTAGAGATCATAATAGCATTTCTGAACATGAAGAATATATGAAGAATAGAAATAATAATTAGTGTCTATTATTAAAGCCGATAATATTCTCAATTATCTGTAAATTAAAAAAAGTTAATATCATGTTATGAGTTTCATATTCTTTAACCTATGCATTATGAAAGTTAAGAGAGTAATTAAATATGCCTACATTGCCATTAATTTATTCATTTTTCTGGTTTAATTTTTGTGTTGAAAGTGGTTATATCATTAGGCTGTGGAAGCTGATAACTGGGTGCAAGCAGAAACTACTCAGATTTTAAATATTGAATTTGGGTTTTTAGATTGGATGAATGTCATACAACTAATAAATGTCAGGGCTGTCAGGGCCTAGATTTAAAGTCAACTCTGTGAGTACAGATCTATAAATTCGCCAGCATTTATACACATCCCCTTCAGATACTATTGAATCTTGAAAGCCTTCTTCCTGCTTCTCAGAAAAGGAAGGACAATAATGAACCAGAATAGGAGAGAAATGCCCTCAGTCAGTCTCTGCTACATGAGATATTTGAGTCCTCAACATGGTCTTCAATGCCCACCTGATGTCACTTAACTTTTTCAGGTTTTCCTAAGTGTCACTTTTTCACTGAGTATAAAGAAGGAGAAACAGAAGTTAAAAATATTCTCATGTAGTCTTTGTGTAAGTTTTAATAGGATTTAGACATGTGCACGTTTTCAGATCTCAGTGGCACTACTTTGGACTAAGTCTGTTTGGCTGGTCATTTGCACATGGGGTGGATGGGTATCTTTTGGTGTTTAATTGGAAACTATTTTAATTATGTGGTAAATGGCAGAACCTCTTTAGAGCGTGCAAGTTTGGGAATCCTGAGGTACCTCATAGCCTGCACACTGACAGAAGCACTCAGTATTTTTCTAGAAGTTTTGATTTTAAATATTACAATTTCTATAAACTCAATTTTATCCAAGATATTTATATATCAAGATATAAGTATCTCTATGTATATCCATGCA